AGCAGGAATTCATTGTCTCATCCACTCCTGACTGTGTAGCTCTGAGCGGGGCTGAGTTTTATACTCTCCTATTCAGGCAACATGCACAGTTTCTCTTGAATTGTATTTTATATTCATATTTAATCCAGGTTAATCTTTGGTGTAATCCCTTTGAAATGGTTCCAGGTCACACTGAAATTGCTAGGAATTGAATTTGATAGGAATATAGTATGTAATTAGTGCTGTTAATATTCTTGCTAATTAAAAAAAAGGAAATATATTGTGGATGTAATGGCCCTTAGATTTACTGGGGACAGCAGGAGGAGCAGAGCACTGCCCTGTGCCATCTACATGCTGGTGGGTTTGTGGCAGGGAATGTTACATTGCTTACCTTACTCTCCCTGCATGGGGCGTTTGGTCAGGATTCGTGTGGTGCCATCACAAACAGCAATGGAGCTGAATGCGCAAGCTGTGCTGTGGCTGCCGTACCTTTTTGTTTCACTTTCACTCCCTTTTCTCTTTGACAAAGAGCAGTGGTAAGAGCAGCAGCCTCCCCAGCAAGGAGCAAGCCCAGCCCAACTTTGTGATCCAAGGCTGCATTTAGCAAGACTCCGCTTAGTTATCCACTTTGTTGTGTTTCTGTCTTTGGTTCCATTTTGTAAACCAGTTATTCATAACTCTTCCTGTGGCTCCAAGAGCAAAGTTTGTAGAAGTGCAATTTGGAAACAGATCCATATGTATCTATAAGCAATTACTTCAGAGGATGATTAATAGGTTGTTACTTCTCTGTCTGTCTTACTAAGCTAACAACAGAGAGCCTGCACAACTACCTGTGAATTGCATAACTCTAAGGTTGCTAAAGTCAGATGAGACAACTCCCACACAATGTCACTGTCCCTCCGCTATGAATAATGTGATGCCCAAGCGGTGCCCTATCCAAGCGGATAGGGGGCAGACAGAGCCTAAAAAATTACTGTTTAAATAGTATTTGAATAATCTTAAAGCCTACATTTCCATTTTGCCTTGCTGGTGTTGCCTTACTCATCCTTACACATTGTGTATTTCTTCAGAGGTTACTAGGTTCTTCTGGTTAGCATAAAAACCAACACGTGCCCAGGTTCATAATCCTACACCTGCTACTGGGCTGCTCCAGAATAACTGGCAGTAGAACAGTGGATTGCAGACTCACAGCTCTATTTTTGCATAAAATCATAGATTTAGAAAAAACATTTGACCTGTTTGAGTCACTTTGATGGACAGTAGGGAGGTTTATCCCTCCGTCCCATATTCTGACAACATCACAGCAAGGAATCTGTGGTCCATAGCTGCTTCCAAACTAGGATCAGTTACATTTGTCTAGCTTCAAGGAAAAGTATGAGTCAACAGGTTTGTCTCTAACTTACAGAGGCCACATTAAACTTTGGCAAAGTGCCTACCTAGGCACTGAAGCACGGAGATGATAGATGATATTACCATTACACTCTATAGCACATTAACAAAAGCCATGTACTTTGCAGAGTGCATGGGATAGTAGGTACAATGTTTGTACGCTGTGTACCCTGGTAGTGAAACCATTAATCTTTTATCTATGACTGAAAAACTTTTTCCAGCTTTAGATAATATCTGGCAATGAGTACAACGGGAATGTTGCTGCACAGGCAGTTGAAGATTATCTCCAAGCTGCAGTGATGGAAGGCTGAGATAACATGTACCATTCCTCTTGGTGTTGTGGATGCACGTATTGATTTTCAAGAAGTACCCCAAAACAATTATTTGAAACACACAGTATTTTTGATAGTATGTTATATTCTGGAAGATTGTCTCTTTTTTTTTAGCAATGGCACTATATAAAGTGTATTTCTAGTCAGGGGAAGATAGCTCAGTCTATACAATCCTTACCTTGCCAATATGTTTGATTGCTTTCTTTTAGGCTGCATAGAGGGAATATGAATCTTGCAAGTTAATAGAACCATTAATCATCAGAGCTGATTAAGAAAAATAAATGCAAACGTTAACCACAAAAAATGTAAATGTATATGTTCAAATTGTAATTGGCTCTGTAAAAGTGTATTGACTGGATATACTGAAAATCTATGTATAAAGCCAATAAAATTATAAAGCTAGAAAAGGCAAAGGGAAGTCAAGATACAGACTTTTTAGACTATTTCAAAAGTCAGACTTAAAAAACTGTGTTTTTCATAAATAAACATCTGTGTCACTATCTAAGAAAAACATCAAATAATTTAAGTTTCTGATCTTATCCTGCCTTTGTTACTTGGGCAGACTTCCCAGTGACTCCCATGTGCCTAATGCTTGAGGGAAGGCCAATGTAGCTAGTCCAAAACTTCAGCAGTGATTAGGAGTGACTGTCTGTGCCTCAGCATCCAGCACTGCCCAGACAGAAGCATGAGTGTGGCCGAGAGGACAGAGGCACAGCACACAACTGCGGCTGCAGGCATCCCTCTGAGTGGTACGGTGCTAAAGCCCAGGCCATCCCCCTGCCACCACAGTAAAAGGACACGTGCGAAGGAGCACGAGCCTGGAGGGTGAAGCCTACAGCAGGGCTTTCGGGAAGATGCCAGAGCCACCTGCAGCATGGGAACCAGCACCAGGGACTGGAGTGGAGAGGCCAAATGCACATCAGATTATTTAAAGAGAGAACTCCCCAGCCATTTTAAGTTAAACTGAACAGCTGGGACCTGTGCCAAAATGTTTGCGAGGCTGCTTCTCGCAGAGCCTGCATGCTCTGCAGCCTCAGTGGAAAGCGAGCAGTGGTCCCGCTTGCCCCTGCCAGGACTGAGCCGGCCAAGAGGCTGGGCAGGACTCTTCCCCCCTCTGCATGAACACGTGGCTGGCGTTGGGGCTTTCACGATCTCTAGCACCCTGGCTCTGGTTATGCACTGCTCGCTGCCCTTTCTCTACCCAGTATTTTTAACTAATTTTTTCTCTTGATACCTGAAACCCTGAACACTTCCTTCAGGTTCAGTGTCAGGGCGTGGCGTTACTTTCTCTTCCATAAACAGCTTTCAACAGCCTCTTTAAATGAATTATTGATACATAAATAATTGCATCTGAATGAAGGCTGGGTATATATGCTCTACTGCATTCATTCAAGGCAAAAGGAGACATAAACGACAAATATACCATCAAATAAATATCTGAGGGAAAAAAAAAAAAACAAACAAAAAACAAACAGACAAATGTATATTAATTGCACAAGCTGAAAATCCTTGCGATTTTGTTACACAGGCATTTTATTTACAAACATAGAAAATATTTAAATGGACTTTTAAATGTGTACTATGCATATGATAAAATAGCTATTATTGCATTTTATTGTCAGAGAGAGCCTCAAAGTATTGTGATGAAACTGGAAACTGGTTCCGCCATCCTGAGAGCAACCGAACTTGGTCCAACTATACCCTGTGCAACTCTTTCACCTCTGAAAAACTGAAGGTATGCTACAGTTAAAAAGGCAGTGATTGTTTGGGAATGGTTTTGGGCTGGGCTGGCAGTAAGATATATATGAGAGAGATCAGAATAGTCCTAATCATTTATCTTTATTTGTTGCATAAGAATTTAATACCGTTGTCCTCATGATTTTGGCTTATTAAAATTATTTGATGAACACTCAAACCTAAATACAGGTTTGCTACGGGATGGGTAATTTATTAGCAATTCATGTGACAAATTTTGCACATGCATTTTTTAATTCCTAAGATTTTCCCTGATTGTCTAACAGTTATAAAATGATCCTTCAGAATTTAAATTTTGCTTTCTGTAACAAATGTCTTCCAAGCTGTTGATGCTTTCTCGGCAGGGATAAAAATATTAACATAAGTTAAAATTATTTTTCTTGAACAAAGAATATCACCCTGTACTCACTCCTTTGAAAAGAAATATTTATGGAGGTACCATTAATCCAAAAAATCCTACAGGCCTGAACGCATTTAACTTTAAGAGTTTGACTGAAGTAATTGAAACTATTTACATGAATGTATTAAGCATTTGCATCAGTATTTTCAAAATCAAGTTGCTAAGCTGAAAGAGGAGAGAACTAAATATAAAAGCACCAAAAGAAACAAGGAAAGAAAAATCTGAGAAAAGCTAAAAAAAAAAAAAAGTTAGAGAAGCTCATGAAAATAAACATATTTCTCAAATGTGACTGGAGCTCCAGGAAAATGTGATTACAGATTTGTGACAGAATAATTTGTGACTATTTGGAATTGTGGAAGGAAAAGAGTCAAAAAGTTATTTGATTTGGGGTTTGTGTCAGAGGATCTTTTTTTATGGAGCCAAAAAGCAGTATGTGGTTATATTTAGTAATGATTCAGCCCAAATGGCCTCGGAAAAGTCTACTGAACTAGGCAGGAGGTGAATTCTAAAAGTTTTTGCAGCATGAGGAACCATCATGGTAAAATAGGGCTCACCTATGTGACAAAGAGAGAATAATAGTAACAATCTGAGCTTACAGAGAAATTGAATGGAAGCACCATAAAAATAGAATTTTTCCAGATGTTGGCACATGTAGAGAGGCAAAAAATGTAGTTCTGTTACCTATTATTCATGCCTTCCAGAACAGTTTTGAACATCATTCAAGCAAAGTGCAAGTAGAACACAAAGGAAAATTATACGTACATCAAGATTCTTCTGAAACAAAAAATAATGGAAAATGCAGAAAGAATCTATCTTTACAGAAATGCCAAGTTAGATTATGACCTTCAATCCAGGTCTTCAAAACAGGAGCATGCTTCATTTGTAGACTGTTTCCATGTACCTATGGATAATATAATTAACAGAATAGGAGGTATTCCTATTAGACAATTCTCTTTCCTCGAGTGAAGAATTCCAGGGGAATAAAAAAGAACATTTAATTTTTTTTTTCAGAAATTTTCTAAGCCCAGGAAGAAAAAAATCTGCATAAGCTAAAAATTTGGTGAGTCAGCATGTTATAAATCCTCTGTGTTAGAAGGCACATGACAGATTGACATTTCAAGGAATGCAGAAATTAATAAAACAGTTCATTACCTGTTTGAAGTTAACTAGAAACACCAATATGGTACGCTTTTCAGACAGATCTCCTAAAAAAACCCCTGAAGACGGTTCTTAAAAATGCAGTGATAGACCATATGCTTTTATAGCTGATGGTTCAGTCCAATCCGATCTGTTGTTGTTGCTATATTTGGAAAGCTTTTTTGAGCAGTTATCATAGTAAGTTTACATGGAGTAATCAAGAATACTATTGCTGAGTCTCAGATACACATTTAAACTGATTTAGCAGTTGTAAACTGAAAGGTAGATAGTTTGAATAACCAAGAGTTCTCTGAGGTGCACATAGACCTACATGTAGTTGTCTGGAAGCCTTTCCTACAGCATAGGCAGCAAAACAACATATATTTGAACAGTTCATCTGTTTAGTTAAATTCAGACTTCAAAATATTATCAATATAATATTGCGGAAAACCATAGCAACCACTTAGTATGGAGTGGAAGAAAAGTCACATGGACACAGGTAAAAAAATCTCTCCCACTACTCTGTGTTCAGAAAGTTGCCCCATCTCCTCTGCACTCTGATCTTCCCTCAAAAAATATTGTCAAGCATTTGCGCTCACTAGGTATGTTGTGGTTAGTCTTTGTGAAGGAAAACTAGGAGACCTAGGGTATTTGCAGTTAATATGCATAGATTTCCATAACTTGGTGAATGATATTTACACTCAGATTATGTCTGTTCCACATGATCAGGGTGGTGAAAATGTGACTTTGGTTTAAATCTGAATCAGGCCACCACCACTTAGGTTAATGAAAGCAGGAGCTGATTCCAAAGTTGTAGAAAGACTGATAAAACTAGATAAGAAGATGTGCACCTTTGCTAAGAGGAATGGCTTTGTTTTACGAATTTTATTCAGAATATTTGTTTTCAAATGAAAGTTTAAAATTACTTGGAAACACCAAAAAATGTGAGTGGCAAAACTTAGGACTACAGAAAGCAATTCATTTCATCATTGGAAAAAAGGAAAATGGCTCATGCATAACAAAACAGAAAAGAATTAAGTAGAATTGAAAATAAAATAAATCCAGCAGAGGAACTAAGACCTCCTATCTAGTCTTTTTTTCAGGACAGGCTGGTACTATATTAGTGCTTTCAGAAAAGAAGGCAATAGTGAAGCTTGGTATTCCATTTCTTCTCCTGCAGTCTGTGACAGCTGGGCGATGTTTAAGAGGTTCACTGAGGCCAAAGTATGACATTTAAATACTGCAGCATTCTGCAGCCCAGGTGCTGTCCTGTGATTTCCTTTCACTGTAGGCATACAAAATATGGATAGGCCTAACTTAGATTTCACCAATATTAGTCAAAGCGAAAGCCCTATTATCTGTTCGTGCATACTGGCTTCACAATATTGTAAGACCATCTAGTTGCTCAACAGCTAGATTCACACCACTGTGAACCAGGATTTGTCTCAGGGTGCACTCTTGTAGTGTTGTAGGAGTTGAGGGTAATGGGTGTATCACTACACTTTTTTCTGTATTAAAGCTCATATGGCGTCTTTTTGTCCTCTCAGTTATTTAAGGCCCTTCTGGAGTGCCTCACTATTATCTGAAAGACCTAAGTATCACCTGGAAAGTTAGGGATTTCTCTGCATCAGATGACTGATGAATATATTGAACAAAAAGGCAGCTCCAGCATTAGTCCCAAAGGCACCTAACTACTGACTTGTCTCCAAAAGTGACCATTAAGCTTTTGCTCCCTGTTGTTTAAGCTGCTTTCAAACCATAACAGCTTTCTGCCTGTCCCGGGGCAATCTGTTTTCTTTAATAATATTTTTTGTGTGGAAACTTTCCATGGGCTTTTTGAGCGCTCTCCTAGTGCTCAGGAAAGTTAGTGGCACATAGCGTGAGCAGAGATCTTGCCAGTTACTTCAGTGCAGCAGAAATAGATCAACTCGTATAAGAAACACTTGTCTTTAGACCATGAGTCATGCTATTTAATAGATTGCTGACATTGAAAAAGAACCTTTGAAAGAAAAGCAATACAAAATGGAAGGTTGATTTTGTAGATTCTTCCTCAATGAGAAAAAACCTGAGTACCTACAAGTTGTTCATGTTTGTCTTTTCTTTTTGTTAAATTACAGATGGCGTTCATACTTTATTATATGGCAATTGTTGGCCATGCTTTGTCTATAACATCCCTGTTGATTTCCTTGGCAATTTTCTTCTATTTCAAGTAAGTGCTTCTTACAGACACTCTCTTTTTCTTTCCCTGAGGGATCTCAAGTGGCAACCAAAGAAAAGCTTGGAAGGGGATGTGGCAGTCAAAAACAGCTCTTCTGAGTGCCTTTTTATATAATCCTCATAAAAAAGTCTCAGAACAGGGTCCTCTCACCAATGGGACATCTCCCAGTGGTGTGTAGCCAAGATCACGCTGTTAGATTGACTGCACAGTGCAGTGGCTTGGATCCCCAGCTCCTGAAGAACAAATCCAGTGCTGAAGGACTGAGCTATTGACTTGAGCACGTGCTTACAGGACTCAGCACTAAGCGTGAATCTGACACTAATGTGCAGCCTATCATTATTATTAAAAGGAAAAACAGTGCTGTGCGGTATCAGAACTTTAAAGGAGACTAAAATGATACTCACTGAAAGCATTGCAGCTACTGAATGGCAACTTAACTAGAGCATTTAAATCTTGTCCTTTGGTGAGCCTGTCTGCACACTATTTATTATAATGTGTCAGCGGTGAAGGAGCAGAGGGAGCTCAGATTTGCCATCAGACGTAGTCACAGCATAAGTTGCAATCAGTATTGAAGGGCTGTCTGGGAACAGCCTTTGGATTTCAGCTCAGGAAAATGGTAAGCACTAGAAGACATCAACAGCACTGAGGAAAATATTCAAGAATATACAGTGGACAAGATCCTGAGCTATTGTACATCCAGAGCTATGATGACTTGCATGAGCTATAGTCTTATTAGCTCTTAAGCGATCCTTTCAAGGTATTAAAGATGGGGACAAACTTTTTAGCAGAGCCTATTGGAATAGGACAAGGTGTAATGGTTTTAAACTAAAAGGGGGTAAATGTAGACTAGATGTAAGGAAGACATTTTTTACAATGAGGGTGGTGAAACACTGGAATAGGTTGACCAGAGAGGTGGTAGAAGCCTCACCCCTGGAAACATTCAAGGTCAGGCTGAGTAGAGTTCTGAGTAACCTGATCTAGTTGAAGATATCCCTGCTCACTGCAGGGGTGTAGGACTAGATGACCTTTAAAAGTCCCTTTCAACCCAAACCATTCTATGATTCTATGACTATTTCACAACATTACTGAAAACTGTAAGCTTTCTGGACTGATAGCACACTCAGAAATCAGGGTTCTGATTTTCATTCAGGATACTTTGATCAAACAGAATGATACATCCAGAATAATGACCCAAATGGGATGGTATTGTACTGTTTTCAGCAAAGGTACATCTGTTACTTGTAATTGGATAGCCAGGCGATCAGTTCATGACCAGAGACAGGGAAACACTCACCATCAGTAAAGTTTTCCAACTTTACCTGGATACAGGTTTCCAAGGATACAAATGGGTATTCCCCACATGGCACAGTGGAAAACAAAGTAAGAGTAATATAAGAAACAATAATTACAAATACTTCTGAATAACACATGCCGTTATAACCTGATGGACTTCCATTGCCAAAAAACTTACCTCATTGAAGAATACAGAAAAACCCCAAACTCTTCAAAGAATGCAGTATTCTTTGAACTTTCAAGAATACAAGGAAAACGGAACACAAAAAATTATTATTTTCTTCACAGGCTTCTTTACAGAGTTTAAGAAAGAATAGTCGCACAATAACAGCAACCTATAGTAATTAAAAGTCCCTCACTGTTTTCATTGTAAGAGTATACTCTTTCAAGATTGTAATTTAGCCTGCAAGAAATTATTTCAAGCTAAAATTATGCCAGAACACCAATAAGACTGTGTGAGAGTATTAGTAAGCTTCTTTCTACATGAATGTCAACAGATTTGATCCCTTGATGAGCATACAAAATACAATATTTTGTTTCTTTATCATCACCCTTATAGAAAGATAAATTAAATTATTTTGTATATTCGTCAATCTATTTCAGCAGCTCAAAGATGTATTTGCAATCCAGAAGTGTAGAATACTTCTAGAGATTAATTATCTTTCCAGTGGCTTTTGTATACAGATGAGAAGTTAACACTTGTTTTTATTTGGTTGATGTTTCTAGAAAAATGAAAGCCAAAAATAAGCCCTCAAATCTCCCAACTCAAATTTAGCAAATATATTAAATGCATTTTTTTCAGATCTTAATGACCAAAATAGTAACTGTGAATTACAAGCAGGTTCTGAATTAGTACCTTCCCACTCATGCCAAATCATGCATGTATGTATGCCTTATTTTCAAAAAGACCAGGATTTATTCTCTGTAGAGCCTTTATTTTCCAAAGCACACTGAAATTTCCAAGTCTAAAAAAGAAAAATTGGTCATTTTTTCCTATTCATTAATCTTGCAGCCTTAACTTAAAACAAAGGGTATTTCTGTAAACATTCAGCTATTCCTTTTTGTCATCTGTAAGGCCAAGGAATCGTAATGAAGTATACCCAGTGCGTTTTCTATCATTTATTTTTAAACATTTATTATGACTCTTTTAATACAGAGTTTTTAATGTGTCTAAATTGGTAGATTTAATGTTCTGCCGTATAAGTGAAAAACTTTAACGCAATGTGACAAACTTTGCATGCTGGATTGTGAGATATCAACTTCGTTATTTAAATTTCTGAGATGTGGTTTTCTGGACACAAATACACATATGAAAATTTGTAGAATCCATCAGTACATAGCACATAAAATTCCAGCTTAGACATGCATACTAACTTCACAAATTTGGGGATGAAAAGAAGCCTTTGCTGAGCCCCCACCTCTAGTGCACAAGCGATGGTTGCCTTGCTCTAAAATTCTGCAGTGGAAGGTGCTCCACAAAACCCCAGATAACTTGTGCCAGTGCTTAAATCAGTTTTAGCCTCAATGTCCTTGTGTTACTTAATCTAAATATTACATGAGGTACCTTAGCTTATTTCTGATCCCAGTTTTGATCTATATGTACTACATGTCTATGCATATGCTCAGACTGTGTTCCTTTTAATAGTAATTTTCCTAGTAACATTATGCAAAGCTTCTCCCTGTTTGCTTCACCTAGAAGGGAATCCCATAGATGAAGGTGCCCATATAGGCTGGAGAAGGGTATGCTTAGTAAATTGAGAAGCCAGAAGAAGCTGGCATAAACCTTAGGGCTGTACAGTTAGATGTTTGTGCCTGAGCTGTCAGACGGGAAGGGTAGTAAAAGAACAAGCCCCCAACATCACCACCACCACAATTTGAGTCTAGGAAACACAAGAAAATGAAATGGTTGGACTTTGCATAGACTCTAAAAGTCTGTAAGATTACAAGCTCAAAATAGCTGGATCCAAAATACAGGTTGTGAATTCTGCTAATTTCCAGATAAGTGACTGTGATAACTACCAAGAAGGTGATTCCTCACAGCAAGCAAGGCAGGACCAGGCTCTCTGACTCACTCTTAGCTCTGAGTCACATACAACGCATGATCCTGACCGGTCCCAGGCCACACCAAAAGACTCATCTTTGCAGCAGCCTTCCAGACAGTAACACACCTACCTCCTCCTCTCTTTCCTCCTTCATTTCTCCTTCCCCTTCCATGACTAATCCATGACACAAAGGTTGCAGGAAGAAGAAGAGAAAGGGATTAAAACAAAGCACTGCAAAATGGGAGGACAAAGAGGAAACCAAGCTGTGATCACGAGAAAGTGAGAATAAAGCTGTATGGGAGCAGGGTTCATGTTACCTTCAGTTGTTTCCTATCATCTAACTATGACAGCGATAGATTATTTGACCTTCAATAGAAGGCAAGCTGTCAATCAGACAGTCGATCAGATAGCAAGGGATGCTTTCAGGGCCATATATTAGCTTTTGACTGTAAAGCCAGCAACAGACAGCTTGCAGAGGTTTCTGTTTCACACATCTGGCAGAGATTTATTTTCCTGTCAGTTTTGAGTATCAAGATTCATAATGATCTGGCATCACAGATGTTGCAGTACTTTTGGAAGGGAGTACTGAATCAGTATTGACGAGCATCACAAAGCAATACTAACTCATAACAGGAGACAGAGTATTAGTAGAGTGTCTAAGAGTTACACGCATCACCACATTACTGCAATATTTTTATAATTGCAAATTGAGACCTTATTATCTTATATGATAAAACAGAAAAGAAAAAAGGGACTCCTGGCTCCAAATCACTCCCAATTGAATTATTGAAACAAATACATTTGGATAAAGACAGATGGGGAGCACAGTAAGTCTAGATTTGCCAGAAAAGTATATGGTGTGTCGTGAATGCACCTTCAGTCTAATTGTTGCCAAAGATAGTGGGTGGACAAAAGATGTGGGTTTGTCGGGAGTTTTTCCACGTGGTAAGGGAAAGTGTGGTAGAAAGCATGAAAATAATTTGAAAACTAAATGAGTGGGTAGGAGATAGACACAAGTGATAGAGGCATAGTGACACAAAACACAAGTTTTAGACCTTGATGACTAGTGATGCCAGAGACCATATAAAAAATGGGGGGGTGACAAGGAGCGCTCAAAAACAGCACAAAGGAGTGATTAGGAAAACAGGAAGAGGGTCAGGAAGAGAGCTAAGGGAGATCAGAGAAGGAGAAGATTACAGATAATTGTCAAAACCAGCAGAGATGATGAATCAGGTAATGGTTTTGGTTTTGCTAGAATGTTCTCCTCTTGGTGTGGACTGTCAGGCAGGTACTGATGCCATTTTGACTGCAAACACTGAAGATCAAATTAAAAAGTGAGGGTATGGAAATATATGCTTAATGATGCAGATGGGTTTTTAACACGAAAGCTGGAGTCAAGGAAAAAAGGTGAGGAATACTGAGAGGAAAGTGGGAGAGCAGTGCAGCAGTAAAACTAAGAGAAGGCAGGCAGGGAAAGGATGAAGCAGCAGATGAAGGCAAATGCAGTCCAATTTATTAGAGGAGTAAGACTGACAGAAGTCAAGCGGAGCAGTGAGGAAGGACAGTAGTGGGAGTGGAAGCACATGTACCTGGCAGAGATTATCGCAAAAGTCTGTCTCTCTGTACCAGTAGCCATGTAGAGAAGCAGCTGGAGAGACAAGGGTCTGCACCTCAGTGGCCAGGAACTGAAGAGACTGCTCTAAGAAACAGGGACATTTTATTTCTTGGGAACAGTCCTGTTCCCAGGACTTCAAAAGGAAGGCAGAGAGAGATGGGCACATGCTAGTGTCCCAGGAAAAGTGAGGTCAGTAGCATAGGCAAAGTATAGCGAAGGAGAATGGGGAGAAAAGAAGAATCAGGACTGGATAAATACCACCAGAGCTTAGGAGCAGAAAAGGAATATTAAGCAGATGGAGGAAGCACAAGAGGGAAGCACAGTGTAGGAAAAATAGCTCCAAAGAATGGTCTGTTCTGCCCAATATCATGTCCTACAGTGAATCAAACTGAAAGCACACCTAGCCCTATATCTGGTGTTCAACAGTTGCCAATAGCTGATGCTAAAGGAAGAATATAAAATCAGGGCAAGTGTAAAGAGATGCTTCCATTCCTAGCTCCTGGGACCTGCATCTCATGGACATTCTGAACCAAATAAGATGTCTTTGTAAATAAGGAAGGCAACAAAAGTGATGAACCTTGCAGGATGATGGCGACCATAACCGGAAAGATGACCTCAGCTAAAGGAAGAGTTCCATCCAATGACTCAGAAAATAAGTGTAAGGAGAACTAAAAGTGGCAGGTGACCAAGGAGCTAAAAATGGAAAATAATTAAATAAATAAACAAGCAAAATAAATAGAAAATAGTTCAGTTGGTTAGATTAGCTCTTTGTTTTTAAAGAAAGTGCATTCTGCATTAACCTCCACATGCAGAACACCAGAAAGTCACAGCCTGTGCTCTTTTCCAGACTGCAAAAGACTCCTAGTGCCGAGGGGGTTTGCCTTCAGTGAGTCAGCGATACTTGCTCTTAGCTGGTTTTTACCTACCGGTTTTTGCCTGCTTGCTCTCAGTGGTCACTGAACACAGACATCACAGCATTATCTAACAACTCCATGATTGCCTTTCTGCAGTCACCTCCTGCCAACGCTGGACTGTGCTCTGAGGCATGGAGTGCTATAGGAGTGTTGTTCTCTGTGTCAGGGGTAGCCAAGGAGGCAGTGTGAAGATTTGGGTGTGAATTAGAAAGATGGTTCAGATCTGAAACTGCAGTCATTATTTGGCGGCACAAGAATTCTGTGAACTTCTCTTGTGAAATTCTGCTGCCCACAACAGCAGAAATCCTACCCTCCCCAAAATCAGCCATTCAGAAAAGACTGCTGCTCCTTCTGAGCAGGAAAACAACTTCTGGTTTGAGATCTCAAGTGGAGTCAGAAAATGCAGGGTACCAACCCAAATACCCTGTAATTTAAGGGGGTTCCTGCCCAAAGTTCCCATCCTGTCTCACCACTAATTAATAAATAATAAAGTAGCAAATAATTTTCATCTTCATATTTGAGAAATTGAGTCTCCAGGGAACAGTTACTTATAAAGCAGTATTTCTGATGTTCATTACTTGTATCATGTGCGTCTAATAATTCTCAGGGTTCTGCTTCACCACTTAATATCTCAATTACCATGAAATAAAGAAAGGCATCACGGACTGAAAATGTAGACGCATGTCTCTTTACAACACGGTCTAAAAAGCATCTGGTGCTAAACAGGTGTAAAAACAAACCCAAAAATTTGTCAGAGGTTATGGCTGCAATGCAAAGTATGTATTTTCTGATTCCGCCTTGCCAAAAGGCATTCTTGAGAGACTGTTGCCAGAAAGAGCTTGTTAAAGTGACATCAGAAGAAAAATACTAACTTACGACCTGTGCTACATTATTTTTCAGGAGCCTCAGCTGTCAAAGGATAACACTGCATAAGAATTTGTTTTTTTCTTATGTGCTGAACTCCATGTTTACAATTGCCCACCTCATTGCTGTTGTGCCTAACCCTGGCCTTGTAAAAAGGGATCCTGTAAGTACTGCATGACTCCTCTCCATCTTAACACCCAAGTTAAATCACTACAGCCACGCTGAAACCAGACATTCCCATTCACTAGTTAATGACATCTGTCTTGTAAAACATGCACAAAAGGTGCAGATTCTGAGAATATCACTCAACCTTGCTCAGATCTTTCACCAAGCAATAAAAATTTTTGAATCTGGTACAAGAGGGAGAAGCTTTAGACTTCCTCCAGCCAGCCTGTCAATGCAAAGCTGTGTCAGATCCCACCACTCTTAGTGGTGACATTTCTCAACAAAGCCCCCAGAGGGACAGATGGCCTTGGTAGTTGCCTGTCCTTTTGTACAGACACACATGCTGGGGAGGGGCAGGGATGGAGAGGGATACAGCTATTTTCAACATCTCCTCAAAAGATCTGTTTGCTGCATTTTTATATATTTGGGGAGGAGGTGGTAAATCAAAGCAATAGCTTACTTCACTGCTTTTAGATAGTGGTACAAATTGTGCCAGCCCCTCAGCTGATGAGAATACGTATGGCAGATCTCTGGTACCCAGCTCTGATCTTGCTCCCTAACAGAGCAATTGCATTGCATTGGGCTCACCATCATTGCAGCAGCCCCAGCTGATGTGAAGTTAGTGCAAGCCTGGGAATCTTTTGTGTCACAACACTGATCAGCCTGTCTTCTAAGAAGATTGTTCAGTTACGGTTCAAACATTTCTCCACTTCTGATTTTGTGAAAGTAATTAAACATTAGCACCTGATATTGTCTAACCATGTGTGTCTCTCAAATGTGTGCTGGTTAAGTAAGCTAGTTAAAGCAGGAAATATATAGACTAAAGAAAACATCAGCAGTCCCAAGGACCATCTGGAGATTAAAAAGTAGAAGAGCAGAAGAATAATTTTAAAATTACATATTTTGTTTCTCCTTACTGCATAGCATCATACCTACGTAGCCTGTGCAAGAGGCTATATAGAGCCTGTGCAATGAAAATACACTTGCTATTTGAAGATAAAAAGCTGGCAGATGATATCAAGCACCTAAATTGAAGTAAGATCATTACCTCAGGGTTAAGAATGATACTTCCTGACAGCAGAAGTAAATTATCTGAAGTGAAGTGCTTTAAACTAAAAGTTGAGGCTGTGTCAAGGACACTCATGCTCTAAGATTTCATTAAAAAACTGTGTCTAGTGCCTTTGGGCAGGATTTTTATTTGGAGTGAAATCTTGACCCCAGTGACAAAGCTCTCAGAGGCTTTGCTAGAGCCACGTAGCCACAGGACAGGTACCAGCACACTGAGCATCACCCCAACCTCCGTTGCTACAGCAACAGACAGTGTAGAGATGACATAAGTGGTTACCTTTGGAGGCCCTGAGCCCCAGAGCAGTGTGGAGGTTTATGTTTGCAGTCAGCTTTCAGGGCTCTGGCCAGAATATGAGGAGGACCATTAGTGCTGAGTATAGTCACAGAGATCGCCCAAGTGGTGTCCTTCCACTGATGATACTCAGTATAGCAGTGTTAGCAACCCTGGCCTCAGCCAGTTAGCTAAGCACATGCTTTGATCAACAAAGCCCTTGTTTTGTGCTTTCTTCTTCCAAACAAAATTTGCATGTCTTTGACACAGCAGTGAACTACTGTTTAGAGGCGAGGTCCAAATCTTGGGGCCAGAAGATCTGGGTTCTCCCATTTTTGTTCTGCAGTTAAGTGCTCACATTCTAGATTTCCTTTCCTTACAAAAAAATCCAAAAAAAAAGGAAGTGAGGTGACATGTTAATATGTTCAAAGTCTCCCAACATTACTAGAAAGTGTATTTTGTTATTTTAGTAATATAATAAACTTGTAAACATATGATTGGGAAAAGAAAATGAACAGCCAGGAGCAAGTTTTTAACATGTGATGAAATTACTCACCGTCTCCATATAAGTATATGAAGACTTAAAGGATTTTTCTTAAAAATTTACTTACTCTACCAGGTAGATTCCCATAATATTTTTATTTTAATACCGATTAACAGAGCAAATGAAGGCTTTATAGCTTGCTTTATTTGATCCATACTGCACCCTCTGTTTTGTTAAGTCCATTTTAAGGTGATTCCTTCTGACTTCCTGTGGTTTGCTGCATTTATCCACTTTCCACATATGCATCATGTGAGTTTGATAGGCTCATGTGTGTCTGGCTCCTACCTCCAATATATATGCAGAAATACTGAAGTGCATAGAAAGAATTTCAAACAGTCACAGATACCCCTTATATAATGGCCATATACAGGGGTGAAGTTGATGGTTTTCTGCAAAATAATAAATGTGTTTCCACCCCAGTAGCTCCTGGTTTTTGTTTTTGTTTTCTGCCTAAAGTTTCACAATAGATTTAAATATGCAGTGCCATGGGAAAATACGTACAGTGAACACATGTTTATGAGGATATCAACAAATCCACGTAATTTGGAAAGAAGAATGAAAGTTCTGTTAAATAACAGAGAGAAAGGACAGGAGGAGTGGAGAGGAAATTCATCCCTAACACCAAGACACCTACATTCTCCCTGTGATCCAGACACAGATGATGTGAGACAATCCAAAGCATCATTTTCATGGAGAGGCCATACTGCATCCTTACTTGCATATAGTTTGCAGCACAGAGTTAAACCTTTTGATGATCATTCTGCTCATGTAAAATGGTAAATCAAGCCACTTTTTTATATATCTTAATTTTCTTTTTTACCCCATTTTTTCTTGCTTTCTGTTCTCTCTCCCTCTCTTTCTTTTGAATTTACCTGGATCTGAAAACTACCTTATGAGGAGAGGCTGAGAGACTCTTCAGCCTGGAGAAGAGAAGATTGAGAGGGGACCATATCAATGTCTATAAATATCTGAAGTGTGGGGGCCAGATGGATGAGGCCAGGCTCTTTTTGGTCGTGGCTGGTGACAGGACAAGGGGCAACGGGCACAAACTGGAACACTGGAAGTTCCATACAAACTTAAGGAAAAACTTCTTTACTGTGAGGGTGACAGAGCACTGGAATAGGCTGCCCAGAGAGGTTGTGGAGTCTCCATCTCTGGAGATGTTCAAAACCCACCTGGACGCTTTCCCGTGCAACCTGTTGTAGGGAACCTGCTTTGGTAGGGGGGTTGGACTAGATGATCTCTGGAGGTCCCTTCCAGCCCCTATGATTCTGTGATTCTGTGAAATGATGAAGAGAAAGCTGTGAGCCCAGGTGGCCATACAAGAAGCAAAGAAGCAGTGAAAAAGGTTCAGGGACACTGGAACAAAAATAAACAGGACACATGTATGAATACTTTTATACATGCACTAAAAATGTTACATGAGTTATTTTTTTGCATCTTGTATCTAACGGAGCAACTGCATTAATTACACTATTACTGGAACTATTATAGGAAGGGGTAGAAGAAAGGTGAAGAGGAGGAAAGGTGGTCTGTGAACAGCACATTATGTTCTCCATTAAGAACCCTGGAAATATAAATAAAACTCTTGTTGCCTAATCTGTTAATATAGTCTTGCACATCAGATCTGTATTTTTCATGTTTTGTATTCCACAGGACTAGTCCTTTTAATACTCAGTACTGATGGGGGTAAAGGAAGATACAGCTAATAACAGGAGGGATAGCTCTGCTAATGAGAAACTGAATAATTTATCAGCTCCATGGGCACCAATATAAATATGTTTATAGATGGGACTAAATTTGATCACAAATCAGTAATGACTCGGTAATTAGAACCTCTTCCAGAAAAGCTTTAAGAGATCTTACTGTATTTTTATCACTTTCTTGTTCTAGCGGAAGTACCTGTTCTCTTCTTTCTCCAGGCTCCTCTGTAGCCTCTTCATCTTTCATGTAGTAGTTTCACCCTTGCTTGGCATTGTATGGTGTGAAAGTTTTGCTTTCAATTACAGTTTTATAGATTCCATAGCAAGGGTCAAGTGCTCCACTGGTAGCTCTGGAAGCCCTGCGTGGGCTCTCATGCTTGGCCATGGTATATCAGAGAGTAAGGACCCAGCATCCATTCAGGTGTGCTCCTGTCTCACTGTCAAGTCCCAGCTCTCTGCCATGCAGCTTATTTATGTCTTAATGTATAAATAATCTGTACCCCCTCTTGCATGGGTACAGCAGCAGAGCTGGTAAGGGAGAACCCAAAGCAATCCACAGTTTGTTACAAGCACCGCAAATTCAGTTTCTCAGCAAGGGCAGGTTGGGCGTGGGCTGGGCTGAGCCTGGCACAGTCCTTTTCACTGGAAGTAACTGTAACTCATCTCTTGCTGAGGTGGAAAGTATCATGGACATGGGGTGTGATAGACTGAAGCCTGTTCTTGCCTCCTGGTGTGGATGTAGATATACTTTAAAGATCCTGAGCTAGTTTACCACTCTAGCTGATGGTGCAGCTTGCACTCTGTCTCTGACAGGAGCACGTAGTCCCTTCTTAAGCATTTCACTAAGGTTGCTGTCACTGTGGGCATGAGGTGGGTTGACAAAGGGCACTCAGTTTATCTGTACTGCCTGAAACACATCTCCTGGCAGGAAGCAAGCCCTCAGGAGAAACTGCTAAGCTGCTGCCCACTCAGTGTTGTTAGTGAGACCAAGAGAAAGTGAGAAGGAGAGCACAAAAGCTAGTGCCTCCTAGCATTACAGTCTTCAAAGCAAAGCCATGGTAGTAGTAATATTAAAAAATCTAGTATCCTCATGGACACTAGAACACTAGAAATAATCTCACCATTGACAAATTCAAATGAAAACCATGACTGCCCAAATCACAGTACACCAGTAGAAATAAAATGTTGAGCTGTGTGGGAAGATGAGGGATGGATAAAGGGTAGTTACTGTGATTTATGGGGTTATGATACTGGTGACTTCCACTGTTCTCAAAGGAATACAGAGGGAATGAGAGCTAAAAAAACAAAGGAGATTCACAGTATTTCAGGAACAGTGTTACTTTTAGGACTTTTTACTATATAAATGTTACCTTCTCATCTCTTGTTCCTTCTGATGTAGCCTGGCAGAGCCT